GTTCTCAAATGGATGGTATCTTGGTTCCGATGTGCTATCTGCTCTTGCTTTGACTACTTGGACTTCAGTGTGATTTTGCAATTGGTATCTCTGTGCTTCGTCCACATTCATGTTCCTTGCACAGATTAAATGGAGGCCAATTACTCAGCTTAGGCTTGTGCTGAAAAGCAGGTCCCTTTACGCATCCTCTCCTTCGAGAATATCCAAGCTGACACTGATTTGAGATTGCTGGAAAACAGCTCCCTTTACGCATCCACATATACCATGAGCGGTGTTTTTTCTTTTTCTTTTTTTCCCCCTTTTTCGTCCCCCCTTTTTCGTCCCCCCTTTTTCGTCCCCCCTTTTTGGGTAAACAAACGTAAAGGCCCTTGACATTGTGGGGAGTGCCAGTCCAGTTGCTTATCACGGGGAAGCATACACATAAATATACACAAAGCAACACCAAACAGTGTGACTCTGTGGGAGTCTCCATGAGCATGTAATTTGCCTTGTACAGTGGTTGCAATCCGGACATGTGGACGGGCACGAGGACAATCCTCGGCCCAAGTCCCAATCACCCTAGTTCTCAATTTTTTCCGATGGTACACACCACGGCAGGCACCGAAGAAATTCCTCGCCTTCCGGATCTGCTTAAAGTGAGGCTGCCCCAGGGCCGAAATCCCGCAGCTGATATTCTCCACTTTTTTTCTTCCTTCCTTTAATAATGAAACTTAAATGAAGTAGTGAAGATGCGGAGATGGGGGAAGGAGGATGGGTGTAAAAAATTTTATGCCTGCGCGACCGGACAAACAGCCTAAATTTTAATTATTTCAACAATTGTTGTTGGCGCAAAAAAATGTCTCTGCTTGATATACGCTTCGAGAGTCTGATATCATGGACTACCGTCTTCACCCAAATAGAGCGGCTGGTTATTATCGCTGTATCTAGACGAAAAGTTGCACCAGAAATCATCAGCGATGATGGCCAGGCGTTTCCCCACTCGGGTGAAGACGGTGGTTGGCACAATACCTTGTTCAATTGTTTTGCCAGGCGCATTCAGCCGTCCTTGTTGCTTTTAAATGTATGTATGTATGTATGTATAAAGGCCTCGGTCCACCACTAACCGAATGTGCAAAATGAGAATGAATCCGCCGCTAGAACATGAAAGATACACCACAATTTTTTTCTTTTTCTTTTGTGCTTGTGGTGAGTAGTGGAGTGAAGCCCTATGCGTGGTTCTTCTAATGTTTGTGCGTCCCGCACAGAATTTGACACCCTTGCTCGTCTGTAATAACAGGGGGCAAACACAGAGTGCACATACACACATGAACATGCACAGAGTCTCTCGTGGACAGCACGAGACAGCAAAAAACTGCAAAGTGGAATGTCAAATAGGAAATTGTAACATCATGGGGGTGGTGGTACCATTCCCTTGCCTTCCACCATCATTCCGACAAACCCTATGAACGGCCGAACATTCGGGCAAAATCGAGGTGGCAGTCTCGCTAGCTAGCGAAATGCCAGGTAACATAGACTGCCAAGCAGGTCGCTATGTTGAGAGAGAGAGAACTAAGAACTAGGAATACCTGTCTAAATACTACAACTAACTATAGAACTAAGCCTGTCGAGAATTATCAAGCAAATTTCCTCAGAAGGTCGGCAGTCAATTTCCAGACCAGACCGCTTTCCTCAACGAAGTTATCGAGGACCCTGAGAACAAAGTCGGCGGGGAAATCCTTCCTTTGTTGATAGGCCACTTTTAAAAGCATCACCTGTCCCGGTATCTTGTGCCGAATGGACGAGTTCCGGTCAATCCGATATAGCCAGCCTGCAATAGCAGTGGCTTTTTGGATCCTATTGGACCACGAGAAAAAGTTCTGGCCAGCCTGGATCGTCAGCTCGTTACAAACTCGTTGGAAGCAGCCAAGAAAGGGCTGTTGTTCCTGGATAACCAAAGCGCAGACGAAGAATTCCCAAACTGGCTTGGAGCGACGGCCAGATGGACTGATGGACGGATGAACGGATGGGTTGACCAATGGACTGACTGGCTGACAGCTGCACAGGCGGACAGAGGAGGAAGGGAGGGAGGGATATTTTATCACTTGGATTGATTTGATGGATTGATTGATTGATTGATTGATTGATTGATTGATTGATTGATTTATTGATTGATTGATTGGTTGGTTGGTTGGTTGGTTGGTTTGCAATCAGACTCGCTTTCTTTTCCACTTCGTATAAATGCATACAGATGGCGATTCACACTTGGCGCAGTGCGCCCACTCAAAGCTCAAAACGAGAACACAGTTCGGATGCAAAATCACTTCGACGAGCTATGGCGCCTCAGCGCCTGCACACTTCAACTCTCATTACTGTGTCCAACACCACCCTTCGCACATACACAACTCTGGATCACCCTGAATACCACCACACACACTCACTTAACCTATCTTCTTCCTATCGTGGCTATGGCCGCTCTACCGCTGTTGGCTATGACTACGATCTCGCTCTTCAGCCCACTTCGTCTTCGGGCAACCTGCAGACCACCTCCGCACAAGACGCTGTAGCAGCGCAGCGAATGAATGAATTGCTGGGCGCTGCTCTTGATTTATCCTTGTGTTTGCCGCTGGTCTGCCCCTTTCCGCCAGGCCCTGGATGTGCACAGTCCCACACGATACTTGCTGGACCGAACTCGGTAGGACTGGGACTGGCAACGTCGACTGCATGAGGTTGGACTGCCGACTCAACGCAGTTGGACCTGCGACTCAGTGCAGTTGGGCTTACCACTTGCCCACTTGCCTCTGGCTAAACATGAGACAATTTCGAGAGGCCACTTCCGGACCTTCCAGAAGTCTGTGGATTTGGCCTTTCGAGTACTGTAGCAGCTATGACCTTGACCTTTCAGGACTGTAGCAGCTATGACCTTGACCTTTCAGGACATGTACAGCCACGACCTCTACAGAGCTGTGAGCCCTACTCGACAGACCTACAGATCGAACGCCTACAACTACACAGACCTACGACAGACAACAACCAACTACCAAAACACAGGTCACGGGTTCAAACACTCGGGTGTCAACTCGATACTGTACAGGGGTAAGGTGAGGTCTGGGGATCGAACTCTAGGGCCCGCATCTGTGACTGCAGAAAGGGGAAAACCGTTTCAGGTTGGTTGGTTGGCTGGCGGGATTGGTTGGCTGGATTTCGTTGGATTGGATAGGAATCATAGGATTGGATTGGATTGGATTGGATTGGGTTGGATTGGATTGGACTGGATTGGATTGGATTGGATTGGATTGGATTAAATTGGTTTTGGATTGGATTGGTTTGGTTTGGGTTGGGTTGGGTTGGATTGGATTGGTTTGCTGGATTGGTTTGGGTTGGATTGGGTTGGATTGGATTGGAATCATTGGGTGGGATTAAATTAGATTGGATTAGATTGGATTGGCTTGTCTTGGCTTGGCTTGGGTTGGGTTGGTTTGGTTTGGGTTGGTTTGGGTTGGTTTGGGTTGGTTTGGTTTGGGTTGGGTTGGGTTGGGTTGGGTAAATTGGGGTGGATTGGATTGGATTGACTTGGACGGGATGGGATGGGATGGGATGGGATGGAATCACTTTGATTGATTTGATGGATTCAAAGAATGGATCCAAGATCCATGCGATGGGCGGAAGGATAAGCCGATGGATAGGTAAATCGATGGGCTAGATGGAATGGATGGATGGATGGATGTATGGATGTATGCATGGATGGAAGGATGGGTGGGAGGATGATCCCATTTAATTTCACAGGAAGTAACACATTTTGTTATTTGCTCTGTTTTCAGACTCTGTCGATCATTTGAACTTGCTCTTTTTTTTTTTTGGATGGTGTCAACACACTGGACTGGAGACTTCCCTGTTTAAACATGCCAGGTCACACGAGCCTAAGTTTTGACGAGGCTACCTTGCAAGGCTCGCTAGCCCGGAACTGCGCCTTTTCAAAGTGGCCTGCCGCTTTTGCTACTGGGCCAAGCCAGACTCGTAACAGTCTTACGGCGTACACAGGCAGACTACAATTTTTTTTTTTTTTTTAATTCTCGCAAGAACTGGTGGTTTAAGGCTGGAGACTGCCTTTTCCAGTTCACACGTGAAGCTTGGACTCTCCTGAAGTCATTCTGAAAAAGTTTTTTTTTTTTTTTTTTTGCATGAAAAATATCTTGAAAATTAAAAAATGTGAACAAAAAAAATTAGCTATCTTTAGAATGGGGCATTCGGCTCTGGAAACGGCTTCTTCTTCTTCTTCTTTTTTTTTTTTTTTTTTTTTTTCCGGCTACGTTCATAGCCGAAACTCCCCTGCCTCCCAAAGCCCTGATGCTTGCGGCAGTTGCCAGTTGTGGTCCTTATTCTTAACGTGGTCGTTAACGCGTACTGTGCTTTTTTTTTTTTTTTTTTTTTTTTTTTAATCTTGTCAGGCAATGTCTGCATTTCGAAAAGTGGGCATTTCCCACCGTTCTCCATCCATGGAAAGCCGCCGCAGCGAATGCGAGGAGGAGCAGATGATCTGTCAATGTGCAGAATATTCCGCAGCAAAACTTGCTGCAGCCGTGCGCAGACAGATCCCGTGCTTGTGGCGCTGAGACGGCTTGCGGGAGGTGGCGAAGCGTCAGAGGAGTGTATGGGGTTGTGGGAAGCACTCCAATGCTCAATCTGTGACCCGACGATCGGCGTGCTTCCGGGGTTACCAGTGGTGTGCTCGTCGCTCTGCAACCGCGTTTATGATTCGTGTGGCGATGCATTCTTCGCAGCAGATCTAAGCAGCCAGGTGTGGCGTCGTTTCTGGCCAGGGGACTCAGTCTTGACCAAGTCTATTTCTTTTCTTTTCTTTTCCCTTTTTTTTTTTTTACAAAGTCTCTTTCTGTGTGTTTGTTGCAGTGCATTTTTTTTCTTGCTTCCTACCGCCTTCCCCCSCYCCCCCCCCCCCCCCCCCCGCCAAAGAAAAAGGAGCATTTCTCGATCTATGCATGCGTGCCATCCTTGGCCCAGCGGCCATGCTAATCATCTTTCTCTGTGTCCTTCCAATTTTAACGGATGTCTTGGACTACTACTTTTATTCGGCGTGAAGAATTTGAACAAATGGGCCTCGCTCCACTACGCAACGAACGTGTCTGGACAAGCACGCGGACCAGATCCAATTTGACCGATCAAACATTTGGATAGTAGGGGGACAATTTCCAGTTCCAGATGTCTAGAGAGTTCTGCAGTGGATGGAGGCCCAACGTCATAAATTCTCTGCACCACAGTAGACCACCAACGTGTGCGCGACCTGCCATGTGCACACCGCACAGCAACAAGTGGGCCACATGGTGTGTGCACACCAGACAAAAAAAGAGAAAGAGTCATGGGAACAAGAAGGATACCAGACTGGGCCAGGTACTGGACGGCCGCAGTGMAAAAAAAAAAAAAAAAAAAAAAAAAAAAAGAGAAAAACGATAATGGGAAGGGCCAGCGACCTAGTTCAGTTGGTTGAGTGTGCAAGTGGTAGTCAGGAGGTCGTGGGTTCAATCCCCCACGGCTCCGTGCCTTAGGCTTGGGGTTCACCAGTTGAGATAGTTGGCTTGCCCCCTCCCCCCCTCGCTGGGCCGGGGCTCCTCCCTCGGCGGCCCTTGCCCCTCGCATCCCTCGCTAGGCGCTACGAAGCTTAGGTGGGTGCTATTCCATGGCAGCTTATATATATATTTTTAGTTATAATAGACAGAGCTAGGTAGTATGAGGTACACGTTTGAGAGAAGAAGATAGTTTTTTTTTTTTTTTTTTTTTTTAATTTTCAAAATTATGACGGGCACTTGCACAACAGCCAGCCTGGATGGGTCCCGCTCCACACCCCCCTAGACTAGACTTGTCCTTTCCAGGGCCGTCGACTTTGCCGTACATGGCACTGACTTAGCCTACTTAGGGTTCTTGCTTACGCGGGATTGACTCAACTGCTGGGTCATGGAAGACTGCCGTTGACTAGCCACAGGAAGTGTTCAAGGGGCCAGGTAGATACCAAGGGGACAGGCTTGGAATAATTGACAGGGAAAGAGGACCCCGTCGACTTTGACTTTCGTTTGACTCTGTGAAATGTCTTGAGAGGTAGGCTACTTGTTTGGGCGGCCTGGGTCGTAAGGTTGATGCCTGGGTGCCCCCCGGCGTGGGCCGCGGGCAAGGCCAGCACATGTTCGTGCTTGGCCGGTTCCCCCCCCCCATGGAGGCCGCTACCGGGCCTCCCATGTGCAAAGGAAGGCCCAAAAAACATTTTGGAACCCCCGAGACTGGTGCCGGGCCTCCCTGACAATTTTTTTGGCGGCCCAATTTGGGCCCGAATTGGGCCGCCAAAATTTGAGTTGGAATGCAGGTGCTTTGATTCGACCCCACCCCCAATTGGAGTTGACCCCCTGGCATCCCGCACCCGCCCGCTCGCCACCCTGTCCCCACTTTCGAGTCGCCTCATTGACGAGCTGTGCGACCTCAGTGCCCCCACTTTGCAGTGTCTGTCCTCCATCGCCTGAGGTGCATAACCTCATAGCTGTCACCCTCCGACTCCTCTGCGCAAGATCGCCCCCCACAGAGTTAAGTGTCTTCTTCTTCTTCTTTTTCTTTGTTGTTGTTGTTCTTCCCCTCTAGTCACACACACACACACAAAGAGAGAGAGAGAGAGAGGGGGAGAGAGAGAGAGAGAGAGAGAGAGAGAGAGAGAGAGAGAGAGAGAGAGAGAGAGAGAGAGAGAGAGAGTTTGGCATACACTGTACCACATGGGCCCGACCGGGCCCGACCAGGTAGGACTAGGGGTTGGTTACGGGGTAGTTAGGCCCAGTTAGGCCCTGTGTTGTTTCGGCCCATTTTAGAGCCCGTAGGTCTGTAAGTCTGTAGGGCCCGTTTTGAGAAGGCCCTGGCGCATGTTTTGGCGCCAGACTTTGGTTAGAGGCCCAGTGGGCGCCAAACCATTCGTTAGAGGCCCAGTGGGCGCCAGATACGTCGCTCGGTACTCGCGAGAGCAGCCTCCCAGTCGGACCACCACGATATATAGCTGGTCCGCCTAGGAGGAGGTAGGGCATTCTTCAGGCAGTAGCTTAGTCGACAATAGGCAGTACTGTAGTCTTCCAGCAGTGGGCGCTGCGTTAGGACTTCAGCCACGATTGAGCGCAGCAGCCCTGCTGCAGTGGAGGTTGAGGGGAGACCGGCTATGGTGGAGGGGACTCACCTGATGACTTACCTGTGATGCCATCGCTCCAGCCTTGTGTTCCGTGCATCCGTAACTGCGTCAAGGCGACACCTTTCGCAGGTTAGTATCTGGGAGGGAGAGAGAGAGAGAGAGAGAGAGAGAGAGAGAGAGAGAGAGAGAGAGAGAGAGACAGACAGACAGACAGACAGACAGACAGACAGACATTCTTGGCACGCGCATGGCCCACCTTTTTTTTTGCACTTCCCCTCTTCTTCTTCTTCTTCCCTAGTGTGTGAGAGAGAGAGATTTGGAAGGCGCCACATGCCACATGCCCGCCTTTCTCATCACCTACCACTCTCACAATCTTTCTGGCCGTTCAGGTCTGTCCCCTTCCCCCCGCTATCTTCTCGTCCCTTCTCCTCCTCCTGCCATTTCCTTGCTCACCTCCCGCCATCTCCTTCAACCTCTGCTATTATCTCCTTCCTCCTCCCACATGCAGGCAGTGCAGCACTGCAGGCAATGTACTGCCGGCGAAACACCGCCCCCTCCCACCCCTCAACACCCTAGGAAGGACAGTCACTGTCTTCCAGTTTGAGTGCGGATTCTGCGTGCTCTCAACGAGCGCAGAACTGTTATGCCCTCCCAAAAAAAAAAAAAAAAATCAGGCCACCTTCTGGCCTGCCTGGGTTACCTGGGCGAACCCTGGGCCCTGTGCTGGTCCGGGCATGCCTGGCCAGGCGGGCACATAGCCTAGCTTGAGAGGTGCAAAAAAATAATGGAAAAAAACGGATGAGGAGGCCAGGCGGTACATATATATATATATGACCCTCTCTGCCTACGGCTTACCGGGCAGTTCTATTTGATGATATATATAAACTCCGACGAAACAGTTTGTCACAGCCCCTCGTTTGTTGTCCTCTTCTCTCTCTCTGCCTACGGTTTTACCGGGCAGTTCTGTTTGTGACGATATATATATATATATATATATATATA